TGACAGCAGGTTAACAAGCTTCCAGGTACCTACTTACTGCAAGGTAAACAGGGACATCAGGTGCAACTAACACCCAGGTAATTACTTACTGCTAGATAAACAGGGACAGCAAATGCAACTAACACCCAGGTACCTACTTACTGCTAGGTAAACAGGGACAGCAGGTGTAAGGAAACATACCCAACGTCTCTGAGTCTGTCAGTGCTAGACTTGTTATTATGTACATTTACATGTGTTTAATATGTGTCTTAATCATTTACATGTGTTGAATATGTGTCTTAATCATTTACATGTGTTGGATATGTGTCTTAATCATTTACATGTGTTGGGAATATGTGTCTTAATCATTTACATGTGTTGGATATGTGTTTTAAATTCATTTACATGTGTTGAATATGTGTCTTAATCATTTACATGTGTTGGATATGTGTCTTAATCATTTACATGTGTTGAATATGTGTCTTAATCATTTACATGTGTTGGATATGTGTCTTAATCATTTACATGTGTTGGATATGTGTCTTAATCATTTACATGTGTTGGATATGTGTCTTAATCATTTACATGTGTTGAATATGTGTCTTAATCATTTACATGTGTTGAATATGTGTCTTAATCATTTACATATGTTGAATATGTGTCTTAATCATTTACATGTGTTGAATGCGTGTCTTAACCATTTACATGTGTTTAATATGTATTTTAATCATTTACATGTGTTGAATATATTTCTTAATCATTTACATGTGTTGAATATGTGTCTTACTCATGCACATGTGTTACTGAACATGTGTCGTACTTATATACTTGTGGTATATAATAACATGTGTGATACTAATCTGCTGGTCTATAGGGATTACCATTAATATTATGATGATATCTGCCATTGTGACACCATCACTTCAGTCATCAGTGGTGAACACAGACACACACACCATCACTTCAGTCATCAGTGGTGAACACAGACACACTCACCATCACTTCAGTCATCAGTGGTGAACACAGGCACACTCACCATCACTTCAGTCATCAGTGGTGAACACAGACACACACACCATCACTTCAGTCATCAGTGGTGAACACAGACACACTCACCATCACTTCAGTCATCAGTGGTGAACACAGACACACTCACCATCACTTCAGTCATCAGTGGTGAACACAGACACACTCACCATCACTTCAGTCATCAGTGGTGAACACAGACACACTCACCATCACTTAGTCATCAGTGGTGAACACAGACACACTCACCATCACTTCAGTCATCAGTGGTGAACACAGACACACTCACCATCACTTCAGTCATCAGTGGTGAACACAGACACACTCACCATCACTTCAGTCATCAGTGGTGAACACAGACACACTCACCATCACTTCAGTCATCAGTGGTGAACACAGACACACTCACCATCACTTCAGTCATCAGTGGTGAACACAGGACACACTCACCATCACTTCAGTCATCAGTGGTGAACACGGGACACACTCACCATCACTTAGTCATCAGTGGTGAACACAGACACACTCACCATCACTTCAGTCATCAGTGGTGAACACAGACACACTCACCATCACTTCAGTCATCAGTGGTGAACACAGACACACTCACCATCACTTCAGTCATCAGTGGTGAACACAGACACACTCACCATCACTTCAGTCATCAGTGGTGAACACAGACACACTCACCATCACTTAGTCATCAGTGGTGAACACAGACACACTCACCATCACTTCAGTCATCAGTGGTGAAACACAGACACACTCACCATCACTTCAGTCATCAGTGGTGAACACAGACACACTTACCATCACTTCAGTCATCAGTGGTGAACACAGACACACTCACCATCACTTAGTCATCAGTGGTGAACACAGACACACTCACCATCACTTCAGTCATCAGTGGTGAACACAGACACACTCACCATCACTTAGTCATCGTGGTGAACACAGACACACTCACCATCACTTCAGTCATCAGTGGTGAACACAGACACACTCACCATCACTTCAGTCATCAGTGGTGAACACAGACACACTCACCATCACTTAGTCATCAGTGGTGAACACAGACACACTCACCATCACTTAGTCATCAGTGGTGAACACAGACACACTCAGCATCACTTCAGTCATCAGTGGTGAACACAGACACACACACCATCACTTCTGTCATCAGTGGTGAACACAGACACACACACCATCACTTCAGTCATCAGTGGTGAACACAGACACACACACCATCACTTCAGTCATCAGTATTGAACACAGACACACACACCATCACTTCAGTCATCAGTGGTGAACACAGACACACACACCATCACTTCTGTCATCAGTGGTGAACACAGACACACACACCATCACTTCAGTCATCAGTGGTGAACACAGACACACACACCATCACTTCAGTCATCAGTGGTGAACACAGACACACACACCATCACTTAAGTCATCAGTGGTGAACACAGACACACTCACCATCACTTCAGTCATCAGTGGTGAACACAGACACACCATCACTTTATTCATCAGTGGTGAACACAGACACACTCACCATCACTTTAGTCATCAGTGGTGAACACAGACACACTCACCATCACTTCAGTCATCAGTGGTGAACACAGACACACTCACCATCACTTCAGTCATCAGTGGTGAACACAGACACACTCACCATCACTTCAGTCATCAGTGGTGAACACAGACACACTCACCATCACTTAGTCATCAGTGGTGAACACAGACACACTCACCATCACTTCAGTCATCAGTGGTGAACACAGACACACTCACCATCACTTAGTCATCAGTGGTGAACACAGACACCCTCACCATCACTTCAGTCATCAGTGGTGAACACAGACACACTCACCATCACTTCAGTCATCAGTGGTGAACACAGACACACTCACCATCACTTAGTCATCAGTGGTGAACACAGACACACTCACCATCACTTAGTCATCAGTGGTGAACACAGACACACTCACCATCACTTCAGTCATCAGTGGTGAACACAGACACACACACCATCACTTCTGTCATCAGTGGTGAACACAGACACACACACCATCACTTCAGTCATCAGTGGTGAACACAGACACACACACCATCACTTCAGTCATCAGTGGTGAACACAGACACACACACCATCACTTCAGTCATCAGTGGTGAACACAGACACACACACCATCACTTCTGTCATCAGTGGTGAACACAGACACACACACCATCACTTCAGTCATCAGTGGTGAACACAGACACACACACCATCACTTCAGTCATCAGTGGTGAACACAGACACACACACCATCACTTAAGTCATCAGTGGTGAACACAGACACACTCACCATCACTTCAGTCATCAGTGGTGAACACAGACACACCATCACTTTATTCATCAGTGGTGAACACAGACACACTCACCATCACTTTAGTCATCAGTGGTGAACACAGACACACTCACCATCACTTCAGTCATCAGTGGTGAACACAGACACACTCACCATCACTTAGTCATCAGTGGTGAACACAGACACACTCACCATCAACTCAGTCATCAGTGGTGAACACAGACACACACACCATCACTTCAGTCATCAGTGGTGAACACAGACACACTCACCATCACTTCAGTCATCAGTGGTGAACACAGACACACTCACCATCACTTAGTCATCAGTGGTGAACACAGACACACTCACCATCAACTCAGTCATCAGTGGTGAACACAGACACACACACCATCACTTCAGTCATCAGTGGTGAACACAGACACACTCACCATCACTTCAGTCATCAGTGGTGAACACAGACACACTCACCATCACTTAGTCATCAGTGGTGAACACAGACACACTCACCATCAACTCAGTCATCAGTGGTGAACACAGACACACACACCATCACTTCAGTCATCAGTGGTGAACACAGACACACTCACCATCACTTCAGTCATCAGTGGTGAATACAGACACACACACACCATCACTTCAGTCATCAGTGGCGAACACAAACACACATCATCAACTCAGTCATCAATGGTGAACACAGACACACACACACCATCAACTCACTCTCTGTCATGGATGAAAGTGAACCTCGATGCTTCACAGCAACCACCACTCACCTTCAGTCACCTTCCCTTACCCCCCCCCCTGACAAGGACACATACACACACAGACACACACACACACACACACACACACACGGAGTCAGGAGCTGTGACTTAACCCTTGCAACCACATACAGGTGAGTACAAACACACAAACAAACACACGCACACACACACGATAAGGTTCTTGAAGCATGGAGAGTGGACCTAGTAGCTTCCAGCGAAAAGGCAAGGGCCAGGAGCTGTGACTCGACCCCTGCAACCACATATTGGTGAATACATAAACACACACACACACACACACACACCCACACACATTACTCCTAACTTAACATTCATATGATTACAAGTATGGAGTGTCGTGTGGCCATTACACTGCAGGCAACATTTACCCGAGTATTCTGAATAGCCATTGAATTTCTTTCTAATTAGGGCAGTAATTGGACGGACAGGTGGCACCACTCTTATTACTTCGAATTATACCAATTTTTTTTATTATAGCCATTTTATGAACATTCTAATAATAGAGAGTGAGTCTTGAATTTTAATTAAAAACATAAATTTTAGGGTCAATTTAATACAAGGACTTTGGTGTGTGTGTGTGTGTGTGTGTGTGTGTGTGTGTGTGTGTGTGTGTGTATGTATATATATATATATATATATATATATATATATATATATATATATATATTATATATATATATATATATATATATACGTGCATGTTTGTGTGTATTAAAGAAGCTGGGAGAAGTGCACAGAAAGAAGAAAAAAAAAGCAGAGAAATAAAGATGAGGAAGAGGATGATAGTGTGAGAGAGAGAAAGAGAGAGAGAGAACTAACGGGCATTGAAGTATTGAGTGTACGCTGTCAGAGAAGCGTCAGATAATGGTCTGAAATTCACCCTGTCTGTCCCGACATTTTCCACGTCCCTAACAGCCGCCGGCTGTACACAAACCTCAAACTATGCTTATCATTTTTTCCCCTCTCTCGTTTCTCTCCCTGACAGCTATGGACGGCGACTCTTCGGAAGCAAAAGAGAATCGCTGTGTTCGGAAGTTACCACAATGACCACCTTCGTGGCCAACGGCTACAACCCCGTCAGCACGCAGACTGGGCCGGTCCTTCCCCTACAGCAACAACAACCACTGCTGCAGCAACCACAACAGCAGCCAATACAACAGCAACAACTAGCATCATCCAGTCACCTCAACTTTCGTAACTCCACGGCCGGCTTGATTCAGAACTGTGGAGACCAGGACGGCAAACCTACTGTTAGGGACTCTTTACTGTAGGATTCCACCGCTGGAAAGCTTAGAAAATTTCAACTGCAATATTCCAGACCTGGAAGAGTCAGATAGCTTTCCCTGCTGTAAAAATACAGGAGTTTAAAATTCGGGTTCAGAGATTCCAGGAACTGCATATTCAGTTATAGATTCCTTGCTGCAATGTTCCAGGAACTGAAGAATCATTCGTGGTATCATCGTTGCAGTGTTCCAGAACCTAAAAATTCGTTCCTGGATTCCTTGCTGCAGTCTTCCAGGACCTAAAGATTCGTTCCTGGATTCCTTGCTGCAGTCTTCCAGGACCTAAAGATTCGTTCCTGGATTCCTTGCTGCAGTCTTCCAGGACCTAAAGATTCGTTCCTGGATTCCTTGCTGCAGTGTTCCAGGAACTGATGATTCATATATGTATTCCATGCCGTAAAAGTCCATAAAAGTAAACTTCTCTTACGAATTCACTGCTCCAAGATTCCAGGTCTGGAAAATTCAACATTGGATTCCTTGTTTTCAAGATTCGAGAAACGAAAATTTCTCTCGTGAAGATTCAAATGGAGATTCCTTGTTCTGTGGTGAGGACAGCGGCGGACATATATTTTTGGGGTTCTGAAGCTTGAACTGCTAAGGGGGGTTCCCTAGTATCCCCTTCTCATCCAGTAGACCAAAAAAATTTTAAGCAATGTGAACTAAAGTGGCTTCCGGGGCCCCTCCGGGATTAGGGGCCCTGAAGCTTAGGCTTCACTAGTCTCATAGTAGATCCGCCCCTGGATGGGGGAACTGCGGGAGGTATTAATGAAAAAAAAAACTATACCGAGATTCATCACAGAACACGGGGTGACGGGGACATATACAACGACTTTTATATATTATTACTTGTTAGTATTTAATAAATGACGTTCAGGGGAATAAATTACATACCGCAAAACGAGAACAAATAGTATATGTGTTATTCATAATAAAGATTATTTATCAACGAGTCGTGAAACCCCAAGAGCACTCAAAAAAAGAATTTCTTCAGAAATGATTTCGCCCCCCCCCCCCAAAAAAAAAAAAAAGAAAATAGGGAATGTGGCACAGAAAATTTTTGCGACACAGAAAATTTATAAAAATCAAGAAAAAAAATTATGTGCTAAATGATGACGAGGTGATTAAAAATACGCGCGTCAAAAAGTCAAGAGTCAGTAGCAATAAGCAAAACGCAAGACGCAAGACGCAAGACGCAAAACGCAAGGATGTGCTTCACCAGGAGAGCCACAAACTGGGCAGTGTTATTCCTGGACACTATGAATGATGATGATGGTAATAATTACAGTGAAAGTAATGACCACAGCAGTGATGTTATGTCCACAGCAGTGATATGGTGTCCATAGCAGTGATGTGATGTCCACAGCAATGATATGATGTCCATAGCAGTGATGTGATGTCCACAGCAATGATATGATGTCCATAGAAGTGATGTGATGTCCACAGTAATGATGTAATGTCCGTAGAAGTGATGTGATGTGCACAGCAGTGATGTGATGTCCACAGCAATGATGTGATGTCCATAGAAGTGATGTGATGTCCACAGCAATGATATGATGTCCATAGAAGTGATGTTATGTCCACAGCAGTGATATGATGTCCATAGCAGTGATGTGATGTCCACAGTAATGATGTGATGTCCGTAGAAGTGATGTGATGTCCACAGCAGTGATGCCTACAGTAGTGATGTCCACAGCAGTGATGCCTACAGTAGTGATGTCCACAGCAGTGATGCCCACAGTAGTGATGCCCACAGCAGTGATGTCCACAGCAGTTATGCCTACAGTAGTGATGTCCACAGCAGTGATGCCTACAGTAGTGATGTCCACATCAGTGATGTCCACAGCAGTGATGTCCACAGCAGTGATGTCCACATCAGTGATGTCCACAGCAGTGATGTCCATAACATAAAAGTGATAAAAAAAACAATGAAAGAAAAATACTACGAGAATAAACCTCAAGGGTTAATTGGTGAACAACAGACCTGTTTCACGACTACAACAGTGAACAACAGACCTGTTTCACGACTACAACAGTGAACAACAGACCTGTTTCACGACTACAACAGTGAACAACAGACCTGTTTCACGACTACAACAGTGAACAACAGACCTGTTTCACGACTACAACAGTGAACAACAGACCTGTTTCACGACTACAACAGTGAACAACAGACCTGTTTCACGACTACAACAGTGAACAACAGATGTTTCACGACTACAACAGTGAACAACAGATCTGTTTCACTACAACAGTGAACAACAGACCTGTTTCACGACTACAACAGTGAACAACAGACCTGTTTCACGACTACAACGGTGAACAACAGATCTGTTTCACGACTACAACAGTGAACAACAGATGTTTCACTACAACAGTGAACAACAGATCTGTTTCACGACTACAACAGTGAACAACAGACCTGTTTCACGACTACAACAGTGAACAACAGACCTGTTTCACGACTACAACAGTGAACAACAGACCTGTTTCACGACTACAACAGTGAACAACAGACCTGTTTCACGACTACAACAGTGAACAACAGACCTGTTTCACGACTACAACAGTGAACAACAGACCTGTTTCACTGCTGCAACAGTGAACAACAGACCTGCTTCACGACTACAACAGTGAACAACAGACATGTTTCACGGCTACAACAGTGAACAACAGACCTGCTTCACGGCTACAACAGTGAACAACAGACCTGCTTCACGGCTACAACAGTGAACAACAGACCTGCTTCACTGCTACAACAGTGAACAACAGACCTGCTTCACGGCTACAACAGTGAACAACAGACCTGTTTCACGGCTACAACAGTGAACAACAGACATGTTTCACGGCTACAACAGTGAACAACAGACCTGCTTCACTGCTACAACAGTGAACAACAGACCTGCTTCACTGCTACAACAGTGAACAACAGACCTGCTTCACGGCTACAACAGTGAACAACAGACCTGTTTCACGGCTACAACAGTGAACAACAGACATGTTTCACGGCTACAACAGTGAACAACAGACCTGCTTCACTGCTACAACAGTGAACAACAGACCTGCTTCACGGCTACAACAGTGAACAACAGACCTGCTTCACTGCTGCAACAGTGAACAACAGACCTGCTTCACTGCTACAACAGTGAACAAGGAAACCATCCTTCGCTAGAGCCAGTCCACTGCTGAAAAGTAAGAAGAGAATAAAGACAGTAAGGATACCCAATTGTGGCTCAATAACGACCCACATGAAGACAGAAACTCAGAAGATTGTCTACTGAAGAGGATCCCAGAAGGGGATCGAAATATACAGACAAATTCATCTTCTGAGACTCTGTCTTCATGTGGGTTATTATTGAGCACTGACAAGTATCTATTACACTTTAGCTGACTCACGAAATTGTAATACAAACCAAGGAATGGGTGGGGGATTGAACCCACGGCGAGTGAGTCGCAAAACTGCAAAGCCAGTGGGTAAGCCACTCGGCTTACGTGTGACTTACTCGTCAGAGCAGAGGTCTACGCCAGCGGATATAACTACGATGGTGCAAATGATAACTGAAAACTCGGACAAGTAAATTGGTGCGACATTTCCTGAGCGCTGTTGGTCATGAATTCCTTTTCGTTCCAAAGCAACGATGCAAGTGTAATAATCCAAATATTTCTTAAAAGAGGAGGGGGGACCACCGGTAAGCCAGCTGAAGGCCTCGGTCAGATGACCAAAAGCTCCAGTGGCGGGGGATCATCATGTAATTAGGACCCGCGTCAGGGAACAACGGTCCCGTTTCCCGACGAATCTTACCCAACTCGGTACTTGCGGAACGTTATCACAGAAAATGGGATGCATTGCTCGGTGACCGGTATGTATGTACCTCAGTGCTCTAGTGGCGAGATATAACACACAGGACCTGTGTGTTGAGCGCCACGAAATTATCTCCCGACTGAGCCTTCGTTAGTAACTCCCATACGAGACAACACTGACATCTGCTTGTTGAAAGTGCTGGTGTTAGATAATGGTGCAAAAGAAAGTGCTGGTGTTAGATAATGGTGCAAAAGAAAGTACTGGTGTTAAGACAGATAATGGTGAAAAGAAAGTGCTGGTGTTAGACAATGGTGCAGAAAACTGATGGTCTTAGATAATGGCGCAAAAGAAAGTGCTGGTGTTACATAATGGTGCAAAAAAAATGCTGGTGTTTAATAATGGTGCAAAAAAGTGCTAGTGTTAGACAGATAATGGTGTAAATGACAGTGCTGGTGTTAGATAATGTAAAAGAAAGTGAGGGTGTTACACAAAATGGTGAAAATGTAAGTGCTGGTGTTAGACAATTAATGGTGCAAAAGGTGTTGGTGTCACAGATAATGGTGCAAAAGAAGGTGCTGGCGTTTTAAGACAATTAATGGTGCAAAAGGTGCTCGTGTTGGATAATGGTGCAAAAGAAAGTGCTGGTGTTAGATGATGGTGCAAAATAAAGTGCTGGTGTTAGATAATGGTGCAAAATAAAGTGCTGGTGTTAGATAATGGTGCAAAAGAAAGTGCTGGTGTTAGATAATGGTGCAAAAAAGTGCTGGTGTTAGATAATGGTGCAAAAGAAAGTGCTGGCGTTAGATAATGGTGCAAAAGAAAGTGCTGGGTAAAAGGGTGAAGTTGTATACCAAGAAATTTGCACTTGTTAGACGAGGCTACCCAGCAATGAGGGAGACCAGAATAAGTGTTTGACAAAGTGTGTTACGTAAACTCAGCTCAAACGTCAATAACCCAAGTTTATGTACACACGAAGAACGTCAACATGTGAAGGAAGAAATTACCGAATTACAAGCTGAATAAAATAGGAGTGTTCACCAGGTCAGTCTTGTACTTAAAATGACGCCAGACTATGAAGAGGAACACCCGTGATTCAAAATCTGTGATGAGATTTAGACCTGTGTATGTGTTAGGAAATATCTCCGGGTACTCACCTTGAGGTGAGATGAACTCAGCTGACAGGTGAAGTTCTTCGTTAATAACTCTGAAAATAATAATTTTAATAACCGGTTGAAGGGCAGTTCCAGCCATCCATATACAACCATTAAATTTACAGTGCAACGAGAAACAAACATTGAGGTGAGGATATTAAACTGTGGCTACGAAATTACACAATTAATCCGCTGAAAATTGTATATATAAAAAAAAAAGAAAAAAAAATTGCCGAGTGAAGACTGTGGTGTACGCAGATGGACGAACATTCTGTGTGTACCCTCAGCAGTGTTATTAACAGTTACCCCCTCCCCCCCCCCCCCAAAAAAAAATATATATATATTACGTGGTCTTCAGCTTCCATGCAAAATAAACATGACTGTAGCTCTTACGCACTGAATTGTGTATAAAAATCCTTACTAGATAAGCCACAAACGGACAGATATTTGAAAATATTTTGAAAAAATGTATAATACCTTACTTGTGGTCGTTCAAGAAAATATGTGTCCTGTATCACGTGACTTTAAAATTCATAATACAAGAAGGAAATGCTTCTTACAAACTATATACAAAACCCACATAATATTTAGAGAACAATGAAACTGTGAAAAAATAACAAGAAAAAGCCTCTTTTTCCTGAAGTAGAGAACTCGGTGTTATTTTTCTACAGAGGAAGAAAGTGGCTTGTATATAAAGGCATTTATTAAGAAATGCGAAAATTTAGGGGTAACTTCTACGAAAAAGTACCAGTGATTACAGATAACTTTTTTAAACAGAATGTTCATATTACAAAGAGAATAACATAAATATAAAGCTATAATAGACACTTATGGCTAAACTACGGCGTATTATCCACGATATAAGCTCACATATGTGCTAGGAGGGAATTAATGCACACTTACGCTGGAGAGGCACATAAATTCGGAGAGGCGTCATACACTAGAGCCAGTGATATTCATTTGGGTTCGGGAACAATATATACATATTAGAATAATAGTGTTTATTAAGTTAGATGGACTTACCATTATGTAAATGGCCATACATTAGATTAAGAATCATATGTACATTACAGTGAGAGGTCGTTTGTTCTCTCGATTTAAGATGCAAGTCATATATTTTTGTGTACCAAAAGTGTATATAAAGAATGTATGTAAATACTCGACTAAACTGGTGCTGTTATGCGCATGCTCTATCCCAAACACTAATCATAGATTTTTCACCATTTTTGGTTTAGAGTATAGAAGAAAAAAACTTGCTTACACACTATTGGTGTTACTAGTGCATTGTTACTGGACACATGCTGCTGGTAGTTTGCGTTTAGGGTACACTGTATAAATGTGTGTATGTTAGTATATATATAAAAATGGATCTCTTTATTTTCTTAATGTTATTTCTTCAGAGAAAACAACCAGAGAAAGCCCGCTTTGAGTATATATGGGGTGATGTACTGAAAACGCCTGGCTTTCAATTATAGCACAATAATTGTACACGTTGACAATTTCCAGTGTTGATAATATTATTCCTTGAGGGTTCTACGTTAACGCCACTGTGTATATCAGTTACACTAACATTTCTAACGAAGATTATCCTCTTATGTTCATAGACTTCACTTTCCTATCAACACACCTGTAAAGATACAGGTGTATAATGATTCACAAATAACCCGACCTTAGAGACGAGACTAGATTCTTTCGGTCCGCCATGAAACATTATCAGGGGCGGAAATAAACATCGTCTAAACATCTCTTAAGCGTGGGTTATTTGTGACATGTTCCAACCACGGTATAGTGAATTTTATAATATTATATATGAAATATTCCAGCCAGTGGCTGTTATTCAGACGTATTTACAAGAAGAATCATACAACTGTTCGAATGACAGTAATGCAGGAACTGAGATTTTTTGACGATCTGAGAGCCTTGAACATGTGGTGGTCTTGATTACCAGGTCTGGTGTGATCCTGACTACCAGGTCTGGTGTGATCCTGACAACCAGTTGTGGTGTGATCTGACAACACAGTTTGGCGTGTCTGACGACACAGTTTGGGTGGATAGTGACAACCACAGTTCTGGTGTGGTCCTGACACACAGCTCTGCGTGGTCCTGACAACACAGCTCTGGCGTGTGATCCTGACAACCAGGTTTGGCGTGGTACTGTCAACACAGTCTGGGTGATCTTGACAACACAGGTTCTGGTGTGATCTTCACAACACAGGTTTGGCGTGGTCCTGACTACACACTCTGCGTGGTCCTGACTACCAGTCTGGGTGGTC